CACTTGTATTTCTCCTATCCGTTAATAAATGGACTTCAGTGTTACCCGGTGTTTCCCTACCCATCACTGCCTTCTTCAGGGAACACTTGGAACCTTCAGAGACAACCCTCCACCAACAATTAGTCGAGGCGTTTCACCAAGCGGTAGAAGAGGCTATTCCAAAAACAAAACCTACATCAAGACAGTACAATGATTACTGGTACTACTGTCCCAGGGTGAAAGAACTCAACCACAGAGTGAAAATGGCCCGAAGAAACTACAGAAGACATCCCACGGAAACAAATAGACATCTCATGCAAGTCATTGTCAAGGATACCAGGGAAGAGAAGGAAGAAATCAAAAGCGTAAGCTGGCTCAAGTAGTGCTCCGAAATGAACGAGCACACCTCCCCCGGCAAAATGTGCGCCCAGAACCGAAGGGCATCTGGGAAGGCAACACCACCACCACCAACCATCCCAACCCAGAAGAGGAAGCCGAGAGACTTGCAAAACTGTTCTCCGACCCAGCAGCAACGAAAACCCTCCCGAGACAGGCGGAGGAGACACAACGGCGTCTGCGACAGGCCAGACTCCAGATGATCGAAGAGGCCTGCAATAGTGAAGATGACACAGATAGACCCTTCAACCAGCAAGAACTCCAGAAGTCGATAAATCGAAGCAAGGACACAGCGCCAGGGGCCAACAGGATAAACCTACTCCATGCTTACCCATGCAGGAAAAGCCGGGCACGAGACTTTGCTACAATTCATCAATGCTTCGTGGACAGCACAAAGACTTCCACCGGAATGGAAGAAGGCAGATATACAGCCCATTCCGAAGCCCAGAGAACCAGATAAACCGAGACCCATCTCCCTTCTCAGCTACATAGCGAAGGCGGGAGAAAGAATGGCTCTCAACAGACTCAAGTGGAAAGTAGGCAGCCCACACCCTCACATTTTTGCTTACACCGAGAACACCGGCACAGGCAACAACATCGCCGAGATACTCAGCAGAGTGGACAATAAACTAGCTTTGGTGGTCTTCCTCGACCTGGAGAAGGCCTTCGAACTAGCAAATCCACTGGCCAATATAACGACGCTCGCTGAAAAAGACGTCAAAGGAAGGTTGCTGGGGTGGATCCAGAACTACCTCACACAGAGAGAAGCAAGAGTACGCTTTCAGGGAGCAACCTCAAGCTACAGGGTCCATGAAAACGGAACCCCACAAGGAGGCATCCTCAGTCCAACGCTATTCAATGTCCTGATGGAAAATCTAGTCAGACTTCCTTTCAGACAAACAGTCAAGCTCCTATGCTATGCAGAGGACTTACAGTTCATAGTAAGAGGAGCAAACAGACTAGCCAACACGCAACACGTACTCCAACTTATAGAAGAGGAGTGCAACAGACTTGGACTCAAGATAAATCCAGCCAAGTCGAAAGCGATGGCCATCTGCACAGACACACCAGACAAGATGCTCTCCATACAAAACACACCGGTAGTCTGGACCAACACCCACCAGTGTCTTGGAATCTGGTTCGACCAGAAATTCACTTTCTAGCGGCAACTCGAGTATCTCTGGCAGAGGACGAATAGCAGACACAATATCATGAGGTCGCTCACCAGCACAACCGCACGAGCGAAAATACATGTGCTCAAGGCCTACTACACTGCCGCCATGATATCGCTGGTAGATTACAGTGCTCCAGCACTCATTGGACTGAGAGAAGACCAGATAGCTAAGCTAGTAGTCATCCAAAATAATGCTCTTAGGACCATGCTTGGAGCACCCATGTGGACCAGAATTTGCAATTTGCAAATGGAAACTGAACTACCACCCCTGGCAGTACGAGTCAAGCAGGTGACAGCCGGTTTCCTCGCCAAAATCTGTACATGAGATAAGCCCACAGCTGCCAAAACGCGAATCGGTGCCTCCCTCCACCTCGACCACAGAGTGCGAGGGGCCACCTGGTCGCACGAGGCAAGCGAGGTCTTCCGACACCTGCAAGCACAAACACTCTTCAAGAACAACCAAGACATACGAGACAATGGTTACGTAGTTCCTCCACAATGGAGCCATCCACCAACCACATTCAAAATTACCGAACTAGGTGGTAGCAAAGCCAACCTCCAGAAGGAGGACCTCAAAAGAATAACTCTGGAAGCCACAGCCACCGAGACACCGGCTGATGCAGCATCATACTTCACAGACGGCTCGGTGGACCCAAAACATCATAGATCCGGCCGGCCTTCTACACCCAAGGTCAGACCCTCCTATGGAGACTTTCTAATGACTGCTCCACCCTACAACACAACACAACAAGTCCATCATAATTCACACGGACTCGAAATCGGCCATGCAGGCGCTGCAACACAGTCAACCAAGAGACAACGTCCAGATCATTACCTCGATCCTCGCACAGCTACAGGACTTCCAAAGACAAAATCGCCCAGTCGTCTTACACTGGATTCCCAGTCATGTAGGGATCGTGGGAAAAGACGTGGCAGACGAAGCAGCCAAGGCAGCCACACGTTCTAGTAGCATACACATTCAAGCTCCAGCAAGTGTGCAACAGATCAGGAATCACATCAGAAAGACTACCAAGCTCCACATCCAAAAGAGCTTCCTTCACGCATTCAACGCTGGTTCCCAATCAGCCAAATGGTACCTGGCGGCAACAAAGGGGGAATCACTTTTCGCGGACAAGAAAACACCAAGACAAACCCAAGTGGGCCTTCATCGACTACGACTAGGGTACAAGTGCACTTGGCAGACGATCGGAGTGTCTTAAGGGAATGCACCTACTATCAGGAGCCAGCGGTCAACCCACTGGAACACTATCTCCTCGACTGCGAAGTCACACAAGGTCTCCGAAACAGAATTCGCAACTTCCAAGAACACACAACACCAGCGGCCACTCTAACCCGAAAGGCCCAAGCAAACCACATTCACCACCTTTTGCGGGTCATCACACGATACCCACCACCCAGATAGCTCAGGAAGTATCCTGCCCCAGCAAGTGCGGACCCCAGTTCGGGGGGCGCTCCACTCCGATAATGACCAGGTCCAAGAGTGGGGGTTGGTGGTAAGCGTTCACTGACCGAGGGTCCGCTCACACTTGCAACCTGCAGTATCCTTTCATATCTGCAGGTAGGACAACCTCCAATCCCAAATCCAGTCTGGCTGCTCCAGGAGTTCCAGTCTTAACCACCAAATGGGCCGCCTACAGGCAAAGGCCCGTGTTGGACTACGGTCCGACAATCTCAACAACAACAACAGCCAGGGAGACCATTCTACTCTGACCTACTGGACCAGCACGACCTCTCTACAGAGCCTCACCATCCAGCTCCCTCAGAAAGCCCCTCACCCAACAGGACCTCTGAGCAAACTACTCCTTACCTAGTAACTCCTTAGCACTGCACTGTACAACAATATATATACAGAAAACGCATTGTGAGTTTCTATTCTACCTCATTCCTGAGTGTGCGGTATCTACATGTACGTACGTTTGTGTGCCCATACAAAGAGACAATAGACAACTAAAGAGAATTGACCACTGGCCACATACCGTACTCTACAATATGAACTAAAGTTCCCACGACATCCGACGCCGAGGTTAACCGTCATATTGGAAAATTTTAAAAGCTAAATAGCTGCTAAAGTGTTAGTTTTATAGAAAATAATATTAGGTAAAAGTTCTTTTAAATCATGTATTTTACTGTATTAGCGATGTTATCTTCAAGTTATTTATACGTTTTTAAAGTAAAATAATAAAAAAGGGAATTTTTCAAGATTAATTTTCACAGAACTCGTCGCTTCAATTAAGAAATGTTTCATAAAAGATGTATAAAAAATATTAAACTTTCCAAATATGTATCCAATTTCACTGTAGAAGGTACAAGGAATATACCGAAAAACATCATGAGGTAACACCATGAGTGATAGCGGTCTAGAAGAAATTTGGGCCACAATTTATGTCCAATCATCTGTAAACCACATAATAGCAGGTCATGCTTTCTCCAGTGCCCCACGAGCCCATTTCGTAACATAGTTTGCTCAAAGAAAAACGTTGTTAGAAAATGTGCTTCATGTGAATGATTGAAGAACGCAATGCTATCATGGGTCTCTTTAGCTCATTCGTAATACTGATATGGAAGAAGTCATGTCAAGTCGAATTCTTACAAAGATTAATAAAAAGATGGCGACCATTATTTGTATACAAAGGATTTGAGCTACATATCAAATGTGTGGCTACAGTACTATGATCAAGTTTCTTTGATGAAACTCTTTGCCATAGCTAAAGGTACAGGGTAGAATACCCATAAAGTTATGTTTGTAACCTTAAAATGGTTAAATTTTGGTAAACTATACAGTTTACCAAATTTACTTTATGAAGTCCCACATATCTCCCAGTAAATAATAAATCATAATTTGACTTGAAAGTGAAGAATATAACAAAGTGACAAGGTGTACATTATTTTACGAAGATATGATTGGTCTTCTATCTATGGAGAACAATGGAGCAGCCGATGAGGGTTAATGTGAGTGGGTGGATGACTCTACTGCCACAAAGCTGTTTAATGCCGAAAGATACGTTCACGCCCAGGGGCGTACCCAGGATTCTGGTATGGAGGGGTTCCCTTGATTGTCCGAATGTAAATATATACAGGCCGAGCGTAGCGAGCCAATACAGCTGGAGGGTTCGGGAGGGTGCTGTAAGCCCCCCCCCCCCCCGAGAAAAATTTGAAATTTGATCAATTTCAGGGACTTTTTGAGGCCATATGCGACGGCTAATAGATTATTTGAAAAGATAATCAAGGGGTAATTTAGAGCGAGAGTAAACATTCAACGTCATAACAGACACTTGAAAAGGAATAAGTACAAGGCAAGTTCAACGTACTGTATAAAACATGTTTTATTTTTATTACACATCAAGAGTAACTTATCTATATGCTATTACTACCACATTTTGAGCTCATTAACATTTTATTTTGTATTGTTTAGGTAATCAATTCATTGCAGTTATTCCTGAGCATCTGCAATAACATCAACAAGTTCCATTTTCCTTGGATTTCGCCTTGCAAAGATGTCAATGATGTCACTGACTTCCACTGAAATGTCTCTGTGGATGTGGAGGAGGCTGAGGATAGACAGTCGTGCAGTCCCTATTGCTGATCTTATATTGGTCTTGATGCTCTTCAAGGCACTGAAGGACCTCTCAGTAGAGTAGGTGGTGACTGGCAGGGTGCAAAGGATGGTCAGCAGCATCCGGATGTTGGGAAACAAGGTAATGGCATGTTGTAGAGCTGATGATGGAGAGGATGGCAGGGTGCAAGACTGCTGCTTCTGCCACCGGACGGCCCAACAGTGAAGCTCACTGGCCAAGCTGTCAGGTGAAGGGAGGTCATCTCTGTAGATCTCCACCAAGTCCTTTACCCTGTTCTTCAGTTCTGTTCCAGAAAGAGTCACCAGGATGCTCGGCACAAGTGACATACATTTCAGTGCTTTCTGGTGAAAGGAGGAGAACCTGGTCTCCATCTCTGTGATGAGATGGTCCAGTAGTGGCATGGTCCCGTAGTGGTACGCCAGTTGGGTGCATAAAATTGCGAATATCCATAGTGGACTAGAAACAAAGCAAACACACTATACACGCACGTGAATAACACGATAATGTAAGAGTGCGCATGTGTTGTTCACAGCTGAAACAGGGGCTCGTGACTGACTCCTGGATCAGAACTTTGTCATTTATATGAAGACGCCAGTGGTCCTGAGGTCATGTCAGGTCATAAGCTGAGCTTATGACCTGACATGACCCAAAATTCCGAACATAAGTATGTCTTATAGTCAAGCCGCATGTGTTTGACAGTATTAAGATTAAATATGACAAGTAAGGGAGGGGGATGACGGCAGATCAAAGACACTTCAGACGAGCACTGTGGGCTTCGAGGGGGTGGGGGGGGGGGTTCCGGACAACCAGGAAATCCCCCTGGATACGCCCATGACAACCCTTAAATATTTTTTCCTACCCTCTATCCACGACAGAAATATTCCCTTCCCTTCCGGCACCATAATATTTGTCAAAGATTGCTGGGGCAGCTCGGCTGGTTTAGTAGTGGTTCCTCGCACAGAAAAACCTCCATCTGTTGGACTGGCCTAGCAAAGCGGCACACATTAACCCGAGCGAAAATCTTTGGAGTTCAATTGTGAACACTTGGGAGCTGGCGAGGGAGAGGTCAGCTGTGCAGCTGATGGCCCACACGGACCTCGTTCGGAACCACACCGGGAACGTGAGGTCAAGACTGCAGGCCGTGAAAAAGAAGAGGGGCTGGACAGGCTACCAAATAAAGGGGGGAAAATTCAAATTATTTTTAAATATCCTCTTCCAAACAGGTGGTGGCACGAATACTAGCAAAGGACAAATTTATGTCTGAATTGTGTTCTACTCCAAATATAAGTATTGTAAAGGCCTGGGACTTAGGGATAGAAATCCCTTACCAGGCTAATCAGGATCTTAATATAGGAAAGTCAAGGACCATGGTTTTCCGAGGAATAACAAACAACCGTTAGAGATTGGCATCTCTTTACTATAAAAATATAACACAAAACTCTGACACCACTCAACAATCATCAAATAATTACGGGAGTCAAACAATTAATGGAAGCAACAATTAAAGGAATCAAACAAATAATGGGAGTCAGCAATTAATGGAATCAAACAATTAAATGGAGTCAACAATTGATAGAATCGAACAATAAAGGGGAGTCAGCAATTAATGGAATCAAACAATTATAGAATCAAACCATGAACAAATATTTCCTACGGCAGTGGCCCTGGGGGAAGGTTCTGGAACGCGGTGATGCACACTCAGGGCAGGGAAGCGTCCATTCACTCCACACTCAGCAACGTCTTGAAAAGGCAGGAGAACACCGGGGCACCGACGGAATGTGATGAACTGATGGACGTGGTATGCGGTAGTGGTAGATGACCAGAGAGTTGGCAGTTGATAGGTGAAGGTCTGGGAACACAGCCCACGAGTCCAGGACCTATGATGAGATCACAGCCAGAATTTGACGGACAGCAGGGTAGCTAGATACTGACGGTATGGCGGCTGGGTTGAATCTGCTCGTGGCGGAGATAGTCGCTGCCGTTATCACCTCCGTCCAACCACCCCAAGTGTCGTCTGCACCAGCAAACGAGCGAGTTAGCAGCGGTAACTAGCCGGAGGATCGTTTCTGCCCTTACAAGTATCTATACATATTCTGCTGAATATTCCGTTGAAAAAGAAGAAATGAAAATAATGTAATCGAATAGCATTACAGGTATATGAAAATAATTACAAATAATGTTATTTATGATACACAAAGTTTAGTTCATGAATGATATACTCATTTGGTGTCAAAAGATGGTACTGTAAAGTTGGATTAGATCATGACCACTTGCTTGCACTCGCGTTCCGTTGTTGCTGTGAAACACACTGAGTGGAGTGGTGAAGGATGTATGATATAAGTGTCTATATTGGGAGATGACACAATGTTGCTGTTGTTTGTGAAAACTATGCCGATGTTAGGGTTAGTCAATTAGATATCTCAAATAGCCTTAATAGGTTATAGAAGATAAAGTTAAACCTCTCCATGTTATAATAAATATGACTTAAGGTTGGGTTGCGATGGTGGTAAACCATTCCAATACCAACCTTATGGTTACGACACATAGCAACCACATTCCCTGTATTTAGCTTAGTTGGGATAGGACCTTATTCTTCCGGGCTAGGCCTTCACACCATACTGGCTTGTTGGCTGAATATATCACAATAATGTTCGATGTTAACCATTTTAAAATGTATTTGCTATCAATTCTACCCGGAAACTTGTTCCCCATTAAGATTTAATATGCTGATAAATTTTAAATAATTAAAACCATACAATGGAAATCATGAAAAAAACGTCCAGTACTGCCCAGTAAGACCCTGCCATAATTTACGCTTTTACACTAATACTGAAAATAATCAATCGCGTCTGTGACGAGTTACCAAGTGGACACGAAATCTATCATGGACGGACGGACAGCATCCTTGGTATACTGTATTATCATCCCCAAACTTTCGGTCCGAGAAGACTACTGAGGAAAGAAATTTAACAACGATCAACAATGAAACGAATGACTTTCTATCTTCCTGAAACTTAGACAAAAGTGTTTGATACAGGCTTAGGAAAACGTGGCATCCCTAAAAATTACATCGAAAAGTATTTTGATGTTCTTGAAAAACGAGGAGGTGGTCTAATGCTCTCCAGGTGAGAGGATGTTCCGGAGGCATGCGTGAGAAGACGCTCCCACACATCAAGAGCGGGAGAGAGACCATACTCGCCGAAAACTTTCAAGATCAAATGGATCTTTGCCCAAAAAGACCTTAATCCTAATTACGGTCCCGATTATTACTGTTGGAACCCATTAAAATTCGGATCCATTGGAATTAGTACTTACTGGGATTGGGACCTGCTATTACTAAGCTCCAATTCCAATGGTTAGGTTAGGTTTTTACCAATTAGCGCTGGAACATGTTTGAGGAATCTACAGGTGATAAAGAGGATATGACGCCTCCAAAACACGAAGCAGATTAGCTAAGAGCCTGTAAAGGAGGATAATGAAACCATGGCAGCATGGTGAGGGTCATATTATCTCAGTGTAGGAAAAATTGTCCAGGGTAGATAGGGATGCCTCTAAAACATAGGTGAGTGTTATCACTGTACCCATTTGAATGGAAGAGGTGAGGCTCTGATGGGAAGACGGTGGAAGGGGTAGGACTCCGATACCCTCATAGACGGCGTGAGGGAATGGGTAGGGGGACACTTTCATGTAGACAGCGAACGGACCACAGGCTACCACAAAGACGGTGTAATAATAAGGAGTGGATTTGACGTCCGCGTTCACGGGTGGTAGGGACATCGACGTCCACAAAGACACAGGGGAAAAGCGTAACGTTCCTTTAAAACTGTTGTGGGATGCGAAGGAATCCAGACCTAGCAGACGAATAAAACGATAATCAATGAATATGATAACTTGGACGTACCTGAGATATGTTGTGCTAATGTCCTTCGAAGAGCTGTTTTAACTCACACTTATCTGGAAAAAGAAAAGGAAAAATCCAGTTGAGATAACACACACACACACACACACAGACACCTGTATAATTATTCAAGCAATACGTAACTAC